CAGCCCTCTTTTTGACTCCTGCAGTGTGCAGGTCCCCAATGGAAGACAGGTTGGCAGCCATGGTTTTTTCTGCAGTCCTGATTCTCCTCTGAAGTCTCCGTCTGTCTTGTTGGGTTGCAGAGCCAAACCAGACAGTTATGGAGGTGCAGAGGACAGACTCAATCCTTCCTCTGTAGAACTGAATCAGAGGCTCTGTGGGCAGTTTGAGCTTTCTGAAACTTTCATAAAAGAATTTTAGAATTCTGCTTTAGTTGCGATGCATTTGGTAAGCCATACAGATAATCATTTAGGAACTGTTAAATGACAGTGAAAAAGGTGACATAACCGTTTTTCACACTACGACCATTGCAGCGTCAAAATTCAGACGCTTGGCAACTGACTCGTATTTGTGACGGTTGTAGCATTCCCGGGGTCACCTGATCCCCTTTTGTGACCTCCTGACAAGCCATGTTGATGGGGAAGCCAGATTCGCTTAACGACCGTGATGCTAATTGAACGACTGCAGGGATTCACTTAGCCACCAAGGCAAGAAAGGTCATAAAATGGGGCAAAACTCACTTAAGAAACATTTCACTTAATAAATTTGGGTTCAATTGGGGTTGTAAGTTGAGGATCACCTGTATTTGGGGTAGGAGTGATTGTTTATAGACACAAATATCAGATTCGGTGTCTTCAACAGAAATATTCTCTCCCATCTGCATTTTTCTTTGGTTCCGCACTGAATATATTTTTTCTGTCTTCTTTTTAGCGCCCGGGTGCTTCTGTCACGCGCACGATAACTCTGAGAAAGATTAAGCCAAGGAACCAGCAGGTGAGTAATTGTTACGAAGCTGTTTATTATACATGTTCCCATCTTTTATCTGATTTTTTAAAAAAAATTTCATCTCATCGTCACAAAAGATGCACATGAAAATACAGACAATAGGAAAGGTGGGAGAGAAACCTAAAGGGGAAAGAAGATGTGAAGGAAAAAGCAAAAAAGAAAGAAAAGCAGTGACTTCCAACTTTTTTCAGTGCAGTAATTAAATTGGTAAATTGTAATAAATTACACTTTTAACTTTTATATAATTAGTAATTACTAGCCATTTCGACAGCAACAAACGGAATCATCAAAACCAGAAGTCAACATTTCTTTTTAGTCTGTTTCGAGTAAAAATCTAGAAGCTATTTCCAAATAGAAACAAAACTGAATATATTATTTTCCTTAATTAAGACACTCTTGCTACCTCTGGCTCTAACCAAGGACTTAGGACCTGCTAAGGTAACATCAGAGGATATAAGTTGTTCCAAGTAGGGTGGTTTTTTGTAGAGTCAGAATGTTCAAGTCAGGTAAATTTAGAATTTTCAATTATTATTATTATTATT